TAATCTGCACTGAGAATATTGTAGTGGCGTTAACTGATAAGTAAGTAATTGAAACTGATTAATACTCTCTCTTTAAACATCGTTATCGAGATTTTAGTTCATTCACTGAGCTAACACAAATAAAAAATTCATAGTGAACCAACCAGACGGACTTATTTACTGAATAAATAGATTTTAGATTATAAACATCAACACTCTTGATCAGATTATAATTTATTTAATATTTTACTTTCGTTTATTACTATATTAAAGTCACATTAGTATGCTTATTCTAAATCGGCTACATAACGCTACATGTAAAAGTTGACAGTTTTTCATTCATATATTTTCGTATTAAGTTATTAAAAGAGAAACGGGAAACTCTTTGTTTTGTAATTCAAACTTAGAAAAGAATTAAGATCTCTTAACTACCTTCAACACAACTTTACCTTCAACACAACATTATTGTTTTATTTAACTAGGTTTGGGTGAAACAGTTGACATTTTGATTTCTTTTTTTTTATTAAAGTTCAGGTCATTCTCCGTTTGGGCGGAAAAAACAAAGGACGGTAACTTAATTAAAATTGTTGTTCGCACTGCCAAACATTGCACTGTAAAAAATACGTGGCGTCCGCTTTTCAATTTTACTTATGTGAACTGCAGGTAGACTTTTAATTGAATATTTGCTTACAGTATTTTCTATGCTTAATGTTATCAAACGATATATTAAAAATTCTTTATTCGTTTACTTAATCTAAAATTGGAGCTTCAATTTGTTTGAATTTCGATAGCAAACGAAAATATATAATTATAACGATAAGATATAGGTCAACAGTCGACACTCAACCGTAAATAATTAATTGATCATATCACGTGCAATAGTAAAATAAAAATGTCATTAGGTAGATATACTTTCTTGGTCATTAATGACAATACATTAATTGAGGAATGTCTAGGTATAATTATATTATAATATCATTAAAGAATTTTAATTACCCCAAAAATTAATAGCAATATCAATAGTCAATATCAATAATAGTAATAATAAGTAATAAGTCTAATATCTAAGTACGTCGCGTCGGTCCAAACGAGTCACCATTGCACACCGCTGACTCGCCACCTACGCCTATATTCTAAAGAATTATACACGATAGTCATATCGGCGACCGTCTTTCTTATAATTAGAATAAGCAAGCTTTGTTGACATTTTAATATTGTATTAGTACTAAGCTCAGTCTGTAACAGGCAGTATTGGCTCTCTAATAAATAACGATTATATTTAAATGTAATCAATTTTTTAAAATTCTCTTCGCCGTACATAGAACTTGAATATCTAGAACTTAACGGGTATTATTCCCTAAATTATGCTAATATTGTCATGACTGGTAGTGGAGTGACATGGGGTACTACGATGAAAAACGCGCCGAGTTCACACCTCGCAGGTGGTGTGAAAACGTAAGCATACCATGTATGTATAATGAGATTCTTAAAATCGCGATATCTCACGAATGGTAACACTCAGGAAAAAAGTTATAAGGACCATATTTGTAGAGAATTTTAAGATCTTTAACTTTAGCCTGCGGTTTTTTTATAACTTACCATTTTTTTAAATATCCAAGACAACTCATATTCTGACCTTTGACCGCGAATAACATTTGAAGCACACATAAGATCGTTGGAGACTTTTAAACTTTATTTGTAATAGTACACCTCTGCACTCCACCAATAGTTGGCCTTTCGGGAATTTTTGTTATTTTAAATGTCTACGGTGACCGGAATATTAAATGTAAGTACTTATTTCTAATAAATTTTACAAACTAATATAACTTAAATGGAAATGAAGATTGTGCTTTATAAGTGTTGACTGTTGTTCAAACCACATTTATAATCCGTTGGTGCAATACTCTTAAAGAGGGATAGTTTTCGCTTCAAGTATTAATATTATTATGATGCGATAATTTAAGCGCTAGAGCTTTGAAAACAAAGTTGAAAGTAGTATATTTGCTTCAATTATAACAAGGTAACCTAAGTCCATCGCTAATATAACAAAGTATAAGCTTCAACGTTGTTTGAGTACCAGATTATTGGATAGAACAAAGATATTTTATATGAAATAAATGCATAATATGTACAATATAAATTATTACTATTCATCTAAAGAGCACTCGTTTTAATGGGCAGGATAGATTATACTCAACCTAAATAGAGGTAGAGTACTTATAAAACCATATCGTTATAATATAACTTGGATTAATATAAAAATAACAAAAGAAAAATTAATAAAACCCCCCACCCAATTGGAAACACTAAGAGAACCAGTCAAGACAAATTCATCGAGCCCAAACTCGATGAGTTTACTTAAAGGCAGTCCAGGGTTACGTCTTCTATCTTCGAGCCCTAACAGTAGACCAGCTCAGTGGTTTCAGAAGACATTAGTGTTTCAAATGTCATATCCCACACATGCTTGCAAGCAAACTGTACCTGTAACATTCCTATCACACCTAACAAACGACCTTGAAGACCTGAACCGATTTCCACCAAACATAATAGCTAAGAACACTCTCGATGGATATACCTTTAAAACAAAAAAAACCGCATTAAAATCGCTTGATAAAGATTAAATTACTTCGTGATAGTAAATGATCCTAAAAATACTACGTTTGAGTTATTTTTACATTAAAATAAAATATAAATCATATAGTAATAATTTGTAGTGAACCGTCTATTTTATTGTCGGTAAAGAGTTGCAACCAAAGTTGAGGGAAACAAATTATTCATACATGGTGAAACTCTCCTATAGCTTAGAAGTACTTTCATAAACCGTTTGTATTTGATAAACTTGTTTGTGGTTTTATAAAGTGACATCTACCGTCCAAGCAACAGATTAAAAACATTTAAACAGCGCCATCTACAGCTTTTTCAAGAAAGTATGCATCACTGTAACTTGGAGCAAGTTACAGCGTCGACATCAAGTTTATATTCAATAGATGTCGCTCTTAGACTAGAAAAACATTTGTGTTGAAAATACTAATAATTGTTATTACTTATAATATATCACAAAATAGAAAATAATACCTATTAATAACGCTTTTGTACTAGTTGTACAAAATATTATACTCCAGAATATATTACATAACTAATTATTTCTTACCTTTTACTTCTTTAGAACAATGCGACGAATTGCGACTAGTAATGATTTGAATAATTGCTTATTTAAATAAAGATATTCTCATTAATTATTATTTTATTTTATAAATAAAAACCATATTGAAATGCCGTTATGTAGCGTTACCAGTTAGGTTATTTTAATGACCAAGGCCGATCATATACGGCCACTAAGATAAAAATCTTGTGAGATAATTTTATTGAATATTTTTTATTTATTAAGTTTATTTTGTAGACGTATCCTATCAAATATCAACTTAGGTGATAAAAAATACAGAACGTTCAGAAAATGTTTATTCGCCATTTTAAATTTTTTTGCAAAACCTTGTAGAGATACCGTGTATAAATATATAATTATTAACATTAAAGATGTATTGACTATGTTTCTACCAAAATAAAATCCTATTATTTTACTAACATTTTTTGTTTAGAAAATTTAATCTTAATAATAACTTTTAAAAGAGAATATAAATTACATTTAGTTAACATGATATAAAAACGTGTAATTACATTACAAAAACTATTTATGTAAAATAAGGCATACGATGAATTTCTTGACATAATATTAGACGGAATTTATATTTGGTTGTTGGTTAATAATGATACCAAAGAAACGTTGTAAAGGGCCGAAAGGAGGTAGCGAATTTTTCTGGCAGGGCTACAGCAAACAAAAAACTGCCAGACCGAGTTACTGCCGCAGGTAGTCTTAGCACAAAGCACTTTTGTGATGTCTATTTATTAAAAAGGCCGTTAACCTTGAGAAACCATTGTCTTAGAATCATGGATCCTTATTTGTCAAAAAAGGGTCTATCGCGGACGTCTTTCAACCTTAGTAGCAATATTTCAGATCGTCGTGTAGATATTTAAATTTTGCTTTATAAAACCAATGCCTCTTTATTACTATGCTAGGTTAATAATCGAAAATTATTTGTATATAATTCTATATTCCTTTCGCTTCTAACCTACCACTTGTCTAAACTTTATAATTTTTTTTGTAGTACATAATCTGGACTGCCTAATCCTATGGAATAAGTGGAACGATGATTAATTTTAATACTTTCACTATTATTATTATATAGTTAGGGATAAACTAAGTGATCCAATGATAGTTAAATTGATATATCACCCGACATTTCCATCTATATGTAGTCCAAAAGAATCCTATTACGGATTTCATATAAACGTAGCTATTTTTCATTTCAATATCCGATACATGTCATATTAAATTTTTAAAGATGTATGAAATCAGATCATGTACTCTGCTAAACTTTATTTACGAGTTCTTTTTCTTATTAAAAATAAATGGGAAATAAATCAATTAAAATATTTTTTTTTTGTTATAATTTAATTTTATATTAAAAAAACATTCTATAATAATTCAGAAAAGAAAAGTCAAGGGTATAACTTTTTTGTTAACATTATTATTTTAGTAAAATAAATAAAAGGATTAGGGACTGTTAGTAGAATTTTACAACTAAGTTCGATTTGTTATGTACATACACCTCGGATAAAAAAATTGTTGATTTTTTAAAATTATTTATTGAATATGTAGATCTAATTGTAATGTGGTTTTTTATTTAGTTAATACATATATGTTAAGATGTAAGTTTAACAATACCGTAAGTTTCCTAATAAAAGTCTAACCTTTGTAGACTTTATATATAACAGTACCGGCCGTATACAAATCATGGCCACTGTGACATCGTCACAATTGACCCGTTCTAAATTCGTTCATACGTCAATGATATCTCAGAAGACAAAAGAAAACGGATTCCTCGGACGTCCCAGTCAGTACACAACATAGTAATCTGAGTTTTCCATAGTCAATAATAAAAACTAAATAGCAAAAATACAGGATGAACGACCAACTGAAAACAGTATCGGCTATGAACAAACTGTACATCGGCAACTTGCCGACAGAGGCTGACGAGGCGGCTGTAAGACAACTGTTCGCTGAGCACAACCTCACTGTAGCTGATATATCAGTTAAAAGAGGAGGTTACGCATTCGTAGACTTCCCTGATCAGTCGGCTGCAGATCGCGCCATTGATAAGCTGCATGGTAATAACTTTGTATTTACTTTAAATGACCCTATTTGCCTCAGATTTTGATGATTAGCATTTTAAATATCTTACAACCAATATTCAACACACAATCTAGGTTTGTGCATTTTTTTACCTTACCTTAAAACACTATTATTATTGTTAGAAACAATTTTAAAGTTTGAAAACATTCTTCTAAAACATAATATTAAATTTGTATGACAATATTATAATAAAAGTAACATTGATAAGGAATTGCTATTAGTTTTGGCGACTGGACTGAGGATGAAAAACAATTGAATTTAAATATATCATCCGAATGACATCTTCATTCCAGGCTATTCCTACTGCGGCCTGCCGTTGATTGTGGAACCTTCAGTTGCAAACAAAAAAATGTAAGTATTTACCGGAATAAGTAAATCTCTGAAGCAAATTTTGATACATACAAAAATTTATTACCAGAAATATTATTTTCATGTTAAATAAAAGAACAGTTTTTTTATTTATATTATAAGTAGCTACTTATTTTAGAATAAATATGAACGATATATTCGTCGTCTACTTCTATGATAAATAATTACACGATCACAACGCCAACTGTACGTAAAAGTATTGTATATAATTCTATTATTTTTTTATGGCATTACATTGATGTTTTTATAAAATTATTTGTAATCAATAAAGAAATACTATTTATTCAAACCTCTGAAATTCCACATTTCTGTTAAAGCAACTAGTGTCGTTCTCAAAAAGGTACTTAACGTATTCTGTGTGAGACATATCCCTTAAGTTTTGTTTTGCTTCAGTGTGTAATGAAAATTCCATTGGAATAAAATTGAAACGAGGGTCTAGACTGTTCTTTCGCCGGCATGTTGGTAACGTCGGTGATTTATTGGTTCACCGCAAAGTGCGCCAGCTCGATCTTTCCACGTTTCTGTTTCGAATGCGAGTAGTTTCTGCCGATCTGTTTACCTGTTACGACTCATTGTGTGATCAAACAATGCATTTCTGTTATATAGAACTTTCTAGATACGGTAGTCTAAACTTTTCAATAAAGACGCAAAACGTGGAACGTTCCGACTAGTCATTACGGAACCAATAATAATCCGAAGGCGGATATGATACATAAATAGTATCTCATATCATGTGATTTTGAAAATTTAATTGGAAGAGTTTAGAGACTAATTGTTTTGCTTTCCGTCTTTTACGAGCTACAAATAAATGCCCATTGACGAGTACGAATATGAGTGACTCATATCGGAGTAAAATTTATATTTAGGTCGTTATTAATCACTGGTGGAAGTCGGCCGGAATCAGAGAAACCTTAGAAATAATATGACTTGGTGGGGAAAGGTATGCTTTGAAGGAATGTTATTTTATTACAACTCGCGGTCTGGCGTAATGACTCTTATGCTGTGTTTGATACGAAACCCAAAATATTTCAGACGTGTTCAAGATATTTGAAGTATGTCGTTCAGGAGATAGTAGCGTTATTTTAAATGAAACTTTAATTTACACTACCTTCATTGTTGCCCTTTATCACTCAAACAAACCTTATCTTACTATGACCCAGTTAGCTCGTTCTCATTTATTGTGTATCGACTGTTCAAGTTAAGTTTTCGCTGGTATACCTAATAGAGATCGAATCGGATGTATAATCAATAATCTTCTATTTTTAATCAATAATTTTTATTCTAAGGCCTACTTTTAATAGATGTAATCTGAGAACTTGTTCTGTAAATTATTTTTCGACACAAAAATAAGAAAAAAAGTAAATTATGAAGGATAATTAGTTACTTATAAAAAATGCTCGCAATTCCCTTTACTCAATCCCCACAGGGCGCACACACGCACGCATACACACACACACAGTCACACGCACGCACACAACACATTTGTACGTTTCTCTAACTTTTGCAAGTTGATCCAACTTAGTTAACTTTAAGTCGGTTTTAAGTTTAAGTACATACCAGTACAAAGTCTGTTCGACTGTACTGGAAGTACAAAACATTGAATAGTAATTACAAGCTACATAAGCAGCTTGTATGAAGATATTCGAAGAATGTTTATATTTAATTTACGTTTTAATAACATTAAAGTTTTGTTCAAAAATCTAGGTGTGCATACCTAATAGTTAAATTTGTCGAATTCGATTTTATAGACACATTCTTGGTTCTGTTCATAGGAAACGACATGAGAAGCTTGTATTGAATATCTTTACCGGCATATTCAAATGATGTATACGTTAAAAGGAGTATATTTAAATGAAAGACAATTTTCACTTAGTCAACCATAATACTATACAGTATAACAATAATACTACACATAAGTTAAGGACAACATCTAGCCACGAATAATCCTTTAACTAAAAACTCAAAAAGATCGCTATTAATAATTGCTAGTTTGAATTATCTAAAGAGATTAATTTTCCAGTGTGAACGTGACCAACTTGCAAAGCGCGAGTACCACCCAGCTGAAGGAGACCAGCACAACTGATTCATCCAATACAGGAGGTGGAGGCGGAGGCTGGAGGTGAGTTACATTCATCTTAATACCTCTTGTATGCCCCTGTCATGTTCATTAAATGGTATAATTGTTTCGTCCGTTTCGCCTTTTGTCGAGCTGAACTTGTTGTTGGATGTGATATTAGAATTTGGAAGCTGCGAAGATCAACTGGTGGCCGCGGCAATCGCTAGATGCGAGGTCGGTCAATTGGACCACTTGTTGCGCGCTCCCAATACTTGTTGCAGTGCAGTCTTTAGTCTTTGTTTCGTGCTTTCCATTAGTGGTCGGAATTGGTACTTTTTATCCTCATCTCACTATTATGTTACTCACCACATGTTGCGGCAGTTGTCGTGTTAATTTTTATTACTGCTTGTCTGAAGTGGGCAGGTTCTTTAACTCAGTCATTACTCATTACTTTTCAATTGGAATTCGCATATTATAATTATGTACCTGTGTGCAATGACAATAACATATTTAGAATAGGATAAAGAAGTATAGCATTGTAATATAATTTATTATAAATGTTTATCTCAACATCATTGTCCGTTTTATAAATATTATTATATTTTTAGACAAAATTAAAATAATTAGCCATGCCTTGTCAAAGAACTTAGAGCAACACGGAATATGAATGGGCAAATATTTCTATGGGATTCTCTAAAAGGAGCGGCACTAACTTTGTGGAAGGGGGATTGGCTACCTCTACACGTGTTCTCTTGGCGAGTGTTAAGTAATTGCAGATGTAATAGCCGTGTGTACATACCTTGCCGACGGGCTCATATCTACGCCCTTTTCCGGTGTCCCCCCCTCCCAGCCCCCCTCCCCGCACTCTGTTGCCCCTCAGCCCTTCTCACTTCCCATCGACGCTTGCTTGGCGGGAACATTGCATAACATCTCGAATCAGGACCCCATCAGGGGTAGCTCTTTTGTCATCTTCCAACTGAATTTAATTTGAAAACGTTAGGACCGTTGCAAAGCGATCTCGGATTGCTCTTATTCTATTGTGCTGGTCGCCATTATCTAACGGCTATATAAATGTTTTAGATCTTTTTTTTGTGAACGTATTTTGCACCTACCGTTTTGAGCATAATGAAAAATCTAACGTTCTCGCAGTCATATGTAGAGGGGGATTCGTTTGTTATTTTAATTGGTTATACAGTATAAACAGCATTAGATTGAATGATATTATATAATAAGAAATTAGCCTACCTTGACCCAGATTAAAGTTTTAAGAGAGCGGTTCTCTGTGAGCCATGGTCGCTAAAATGAAGGTAATGAAGGAATCGCGGCAGTTGTAAATTGCGAATACAATGTGACGTAGTGTACGTAGTAAAATCGTGCAGGGTGGTGGAGGGAGCGAGTGATTCGGAGTGGGGGAGGTGAATGGGGTGTTTTAGGAGCATGTTAGAGAGTAAGGCGGATCGCACGGCCACGTGGCGCGATCGATGAGAACGGTCACGCGGGTCAGGCACCACCGACACCACTCATTCCTACCCACCACCTGCCACCCACCGGCGACGATCGTCTCGCAGACAAACTAGCCACTGCTTGTAACTTTTACTATATTTTAATTAACGTTTTAACTTGTAACTTGACACCGTTAAGTAATTTTTGACCTAGATTTCAATTTTATTTCATTAAAGAAAATCTTGAAGACAGAAATAGTCTTTAGTCTAAATGATTGACAACAGTATAAAAATAATGAATGTCACCGTCGGCATATTTTGTGAATGTAACTTGTCATATGTAACAAGGACTTACTATGGATTGTTAAAAGGGAATAAACCATTTTTGAAGGAAGTAATAAAAAACAAATTTAAATTATAAAATTGATATTTGAAACATCACATGCTATCCGTAAGATTACATTTTTGTAGGGGCAGAAAAATACCTGATATTAGATTTCCCAGAAAGCATTTCAATTAAAGTACAAATCAAATTAGCATTTACTGCATCCCAGTCAAAATCTAATAAAGCTATTGCCTGGCGGTAAAACAGATACTTGATTATTGACAGACATAATAAAAGCATCGAGAAAATCTATTTTTGGACGGTTTCAATCATTTATCCATGGGTTCAATCAAATTTCAATAAAGTAGATTCTTTTTACTTCCTATTTTTTATCTTCTCATCAATCAAGAAGTCTAATAACGGATGCATTGGTAGCGCTCAAGGTTTTATTACAACCAGAATTTAATTTGCAAAAGTTAATTCAGCATAATATGATTCATCACAGTACAATATTTCCAACGAAGATTATTTTTAACTTTTTTATCCTTGCTATCTTTGTTACTAGAAAGTGCCTAGAAAGGTAATAAGAAATTGACATTTAATTAAGTAGTAAACATCCTTTGTTTATACTCTACTTTGTTCTAAGAATACTTTATGGAAAAGAACGTCTTTTCTCGAAGATGCAATTAAGCAGCTTTGTTTGATAGAAAAATAAACATTTCCAATATTCATTAAAGAGCTTATTATGTTTAAAAATAGCAATGCTAATGTTATTGCAAATAAAAATGTTATATAAAACGTAACAAATAGTGAATAAAAAAAATTTAAGTTTTAAATAGTGATACACCTTTGACATGAAAATTCAACACTTGTAAATAGTAAATGTATTCATGGACTATAGAATGTTTAATTGTATTTTTTATTTATTTCAATTTTATTCTTTATTTGATTATATTATTAAACTCCAATCAAAACCATCCGCATCTCAAAAGTGTAATATTGAAATGATTTATTACAATTTGCCTTAATCTATAGACTACAACAATTATCTATAAATTCACTGTACTCCACTCCCTTTGAGCGGTTCCACTTCAGAATGTAATATTCCAGTTATTAGCGAAACATCGTTTCACTTAACATGCAATTTGAAATATTAATCTTGCCCGTTTCGTATTTAGCTATATTTCGGATATTTCATAAGTGGATATTATTTGAATACCGTTCAGTCTTTCTGAAAAACGTATCTACATATTATCTAGAATAAACATGAATGAGCCAACCTATATGAGTTACATAAAATCTAAATAAATTTTGCAGGGGTTTCTTTACTCTGATCCTTTGAGTCTTTAAAGCTATAATTAAAAAAATGATTACCACGATACTCGACACCGAATAAAAAGCAAATTATTCCCTTTGAATAAGCCCTATAAATGTTTTAGTAGCTCTGGAATATTCTATTTAGATTTATTTAAACCGCCACAAAGTGTTTGACTCTTCCAATAATTAATATTCTCCGTTTAATATTGGATTCAATTTTTTACTCTTATGAAGTAACAAGTAAAAAATGGTTAAAGGATTCGTTGCAAGCGAAAGGAATAATTAAAAGATTGCAGTGTGTTTTTTTATTCTTCTACAAATATATTTTCATTAAAAGGAAATTAGCTAGGTTCCGCCGCTTTATTGAACCCCTTTTAATTTTGATCGTGTACTTGTAAGACGATCACAAAGCAGCAGCAACGTTTATTACAGAAATTCGTCATAATTGTATTTCATAAGCCACGATGTAGACGATGTACCTGGTACATTATATAAATAATTCAGTAAGTGATCTAGTTGAGTGCCTTTGAGCAAGTGTCTCCATAACTAGACATATTACGGTCGAGGCAAATTGAGTTGGAGCCGCCTATGGACCGTGTGATACCATCAATTATAAGCACGGCATTGAAAAATTCCAAAGCTTTTAAATGTTTTTATTTGATATAACACCGACAATAAGAATAAACTGGAGAGCCGACACTTGAACTTCTCTCCTGGAGCCCGGAGCGCTGTACTTTGCTAAATAGCTCTGGTTGTCAATAAGTTTGAAGGTCGAATTAGTTGAGTAAACTTGGTCCTTATTAAGAAACCGACTGAACTATAAACCGGTAAAAGTTGGAAGCCTGCAGGGGATCTGATTTTACAACTTCATGCCATGCTAACACCTAGGGTGCCGTATCAAATAACTAGACAACAAGTCTAAGCTTTATAATTAAATTTGTAAAGAAAATTTTAAAGCAATTAAAATATATGGATTAGTTCCAACTAATCCATACACAGGTTCCAACTTGTGATATCTAATTAAAGTTGTCTTCAATATTCCTGTAAATTCTTACTAGAAATTAAATCTAGAATCAAACAGGAATAATATGGCAATTGTCGTTTATAAGTATTTTTGCGATTATAATTTAAAAAGTTAAATATTTTTGATTTGGTATTTGTTTCTTTGGTATTGCGTTAAGGTCCTTGTAGTAAAAAAATATCTAAAATATTATTCTCCGTATACCTATATTAACAGGGAGTTGTTACCACCCCGTTCAAAGGGAACGGGGATCTATTTGAACGACTTAAATGCGTTGCGTCATGAGTGGTGTGAACTGTTGACTTGACTTTGGAAATAAATTTCCCATTTTAGAAGATCGGTTTTCGAAATACCGTCTAATTCTAAAGAGACCATAGAAAAAACTTTCAATGCTTTTAAACAGTTGTATTATTACCAAAAAACATTTGTTGTCCAGTAACAACTATTCTAAGAGTTTCCTGCTCTTTTTATCTTATAAAAAAACGTAAAAAAATGTTTTTCATACAAGTGCATGATCTTTTTCATCAAAAGTAATTAAGAAAGTCGCGCCGATCGCGACGCCTTTGATGTTTTTACAGAGGCTTAATTTGAATCTTCAGTGGGTTGTGATTTAAAAGGAAATATTGAATTTGTATACGTTTCCAGTTTAGCGTTCAACCGATTGATAACTTAATTCCTACCAGTTTGTAATTAATCTTGCCAGACTCGATACCTGAAAAGGGGATGTGGTCCCAGTAATTTAATCTATTTAGTAAAACATATTAAACGGTATTTTAATGTGTTTATTGAATAGTTTAGATCACCGTGAAATCCGTAGTGGAATAGAAACATGTTACTATGTCCATATAATATTGTGATTGAAAGAAGGATACTATTTGACTATGTATTATACTTTGGTAACATTTACGCATACGGTCATTTAATCTGCGTCCACGTAATTCATAGTATATTTTAAATGATAT